CTAATTGATGCAAGAACCAACCATTAATAGCAGCTAATGAAAGAACTACACGTACTGTAGTATGTTTCACAACCGGAGCAAATGTGTCTAAGTAATCTAAACCTGGGGTTTGAGTATAGCCCTTAGCCACTAGGCGAGATCTAAAACGTTCGATTACACCCGAAGCAAGATACTTTATTTTGAACACCCACATGTTACCAATAGGAATTTTTCCAGCAGGAAGTTCAACGACAGTCCAGGTTTTGGTTCTGTCTAGTGCTGCCAATTCAGTATTACAAGCCTCAACCCAACGAGGATCTTTTATAGCTTCTTTATAAGTACGTGGTTCAACAATTTCAGATGTGGCAAGTATGTACTTTTGATATTCAGCACTTAGATTATCAAAACACATCACTTTTGAGATTGGAAAAGAAACAGAAGAAGAAGCAGTAGGGAAATCACACACAAAATCCTTAAGTTTTTGAGGTCGTACCTTGAGTCTAGAGGGACGAATATTAGGAGGCGGTTCAACCGCTTGGATAATATCTACAATGTCAGTTTCAGGCTCTTCAGGAGGTACAGAAGAAGCAGGATCAGTAGAGTTAGGTTGTGGGACTGGAATACAAACAGAATCTGGAACTTGGATGTTGGGAAAACAAACATCAAAGTCCAGTTTATCATTCATTGTTAAAAATGGAAACACGTGTTCATGAAAAACAGTGTCACGTGAGTAGAAAATCTGATGTGTAATCAGATTGTATAACCTAGATCCTTTGACAGAATGATGATATCCTAGAAAAACAGAGGGATCAGCCCTTGGTGCAAATTTAGATCTGTTGTGCTGAAGAGTAGAAGCAAATACAAGGCACCCAAAAACCTTAATGTCTAAGTAAGAAGGTTTTGAATTGTACAGAATTTCAAAAGGAGATCTATTCTGTAAAATTGGAGTAGGTAATCTGTTAATGAGAAAAACAGAGTGCAGTACAGCAAAACCCCAAAAAGAAATAGGAAGTGAAGCTTGAAACATAAGAGACCGTGCAACGGCTAAGATATGTTGATGTTTACGTTCGACTCTACCATTCTGTTGTGAAGTTGCAACACAAGTAGTTTGGTGAATTATACCAAATATTTCATAAAAAGATGGAATATTAAACTCTTGGCCATTATCAGTTCGTATTATCTTAATTTTGGATGAAAATTGAGTACTAACAAAGGCTGGCAGATTTAAAAGAATATTTCTTACTTCACTTTTGGTCTTAAGTAGATAAATCCATGTATGTCTAGAATGATCATCGACACAAGTAAGAAAATACTTGTAACCGTCAATAGTAGGGGTTTGAAAAGGACCCCAGATGTCAAGATGCAAAAGTTCAAACATTGTAGAGGAATGAGAATGACTAATAGGAAAAGGTAGTCGTTTCTGTTTGGCCAATGGACAAACCATACAAGGATTTTTATTAGAGCTAATGGAAGATTTGACTGTAACATCTACCAAATCTGATATAGGAAGGGCAGTATGGCCAAGTCTGTAATGCCAGATATCAAAAGGAGTAAGGGATGAGTTGAAATAGGCATTACAAGATGGAGGAGATGATTTTCGAAATTCTGTTGAGGGAATATGAAGATGATAGAGTCCTGATTGGAGTTTAGCAGTACCAATCTGCTTTTGGGACGAAAGATCCTGTATAAAACAGGAATCAGCAGCAAAAGAAACAGCACAATTTGATTTCTGTACTAATTTAGAAACGGAAATCAAATTGAAGGTAAAGGCAGGTATGTAGAGCACATCATATAGAGTTAAATTTGGTGTAATTTTGATGTTTCCCATATGTGTGACTTTAACCTTAATCCCATTAGGGAGTGCAACACTCATGTGATCAATTGCTTTAAAAGAATCAAACAAATGTGATACTGATACGACATGATCAGTAGCACCACTGTCAACTATCCACATCATCGAAGTTAAGGGAGTAAATGAAGAGGATAGAACAAAACCTGTGTCTTCCGAGGCAATAACTGGAGTAGTCATATGATCAGGAAGAGAACCCGAACCAGAAGCTCCTGAAGAGAATATGGGAGCAGTCTGAGTAGCAGTAACCAAATTGGCTACTGGTGTGGAAGCCTGTTGAATCCGTGGCTGAGTCTGGTTGAGCAAGGACTGATACTGCGCCCTTGAGATGGTCACAGAATCATCACCAGCAGGAATATCAGCAGCAGGGGAAGCAGACTCGGTGGTGACAGCATGAGCTGAACGACGACTCTTGTAACCAGGGGGATACCCATGGACTTTGTAGCATCGATCAATAGTGTGGCCATAGATGCCACAATGTGTACACAACGGTCGTTTGCGACCTCCACCATGACTCTGAGCTGCATTAGCTTGATTAGGAACAGCACTACCCTGACTGTTAGTAGTTGATCCCTGAGTGGCGAGAGTAACAGAAGGCAGAGAAGAAGTATTCTGCCGTTCCTGTTGAACCAGTCCGGAGAAAACCCTATTGATGGAGGGAAGGGGATCCATCAGCAGGAACTGAGATCTCACACCAGAGAAATTCTCATTCAATCCTTTGAGAAAGCGAATCAACTGATCTCGTCGCATATACTCTCTAGGAACAGATGCCGCAGAACACGCACAGCGTGGATTGCAGGTGCAAGAAGGAAGAGGCCTCAAGATTAACAGTTCTTCCCACAGAACGCGAAAGCGAGTAAAATATGCAGTAACAGTTTGAGAACCTTGCTTGAGTGCCGCTATCTCATCATAGAGGTCAGAGATACGAACCTCGTTGCCTTCACTGAACCTCTCCCGCAAATCTTCCCAAGCCTCAACGGCGGTGTCAAACCAGAGCACACTGTGGGCGATTTCTTGGGAAACAGATCGCTGAAGCCAACCGAGCACCAGCATGTTCGCCTGATCCCAGGCCGTCCACAACGGATCATCTGGTAACGGAACTGACGCGCGAGGATCAATCAATCGAAGCTTGTTTCTTGCATGAAGACTCATACGCATGGAACGCGCCCAGGAGTGGTAGTTCGCTCCAGTCAAAGGCACAGTGACAAGCTGCAGGGAAGGAATATCGCCATTGGCGATGTAGAAAGGATGCGCCGGCGAAAGATTCGTCGCGGCGGTCGGAGTCGCGCTGCTTGAATCAGCGGTGGCGGTGGCAGTTGCGGAAGACGAGCCAGCGGTGGGAGGCGGCCCAGAGGTAGCAGAAATCATCGCAAAAGTCGCCATAGATCTGGATCTTGATCGGAACAGAGAACTGATGAAATCAACGATCGGAGGAGAAAGCCAGATCGGAATAACGAAGCGGAGCAGAGAAAACGGAACGAAGCGGAGCGGAACTGGATCAATCGATCGATCGGAGAAAGAAGGATCGAGAAGACGAGGCAGAGAGAACGAACGAGCTGTTCACGTCTCTGGAAACCCTCGAAGAAGACGAAGTGAAAAAAAAAAAACAAGAAAGAGTAAAGGAGAAATCAAGAACGGTGAGTTTCACGCTCTGATACCATGTTTGCTTGTAAAACAGAAAACGCCACCTGGCTTACTTTTATTTCATCAAATGGAAAACTTACAATATCCTTGTTACATTTACATATATATAGATCTACTCAGTTCTATGAAAACAAACAAATAAACAAATATTACAAATCAATCCTATAACTATACATTCATTACAAATCAGTCCTCGGATTTATCTTCCTCGGACAACTTATACATAGAATGGTTGAGTGTGTGCATGTTTCAAGCGAATTGTTCAATGTTTGATCTCCATCCCTTTTTCGGGGGAAATGTTCCGTGTTTGGACATGGTTTCAGTATTGCTTAGCTGTGCATCCATTGAAGACAGAGGTGATAAGCTCTGGCTTGATTTGGGGGTGCCGGTGATATTGTTGCACAAGCCATTAACAACTATACGGCCGCCGCCGATAAGCCCCTCGTGTTTCAGGTGTGTTTTCTTGCAATCTGGAAAACGGGTTTTTACCCCCTCGTTCCGTTTGTAGACTTGTAGCCGTTGGCATCGTTCTTTCAGTTTCGATGATCGTGGCCCTCTGTGGATTGTATTCATCGTTCTCGTTGTGTTTGATGAAATGCCTGAATGGGGGAGCCTCTATTTCAATGGAATGCCATCATATATCTTCTCTGATGTGTGCTTTTGCTTTTTATTCGCTTGGTTGCCGTTTCTGATTGAGAAGAACAGATTATGATGGCAGTCTTATTGAGATAGTCCTTTCTGAAACCATGCTAAGAATCTGAAAAAGGTGGAAACGGTAAATATTTAAATTTTATTATTTTAATATTTTTTAATGGCCACGTCACTCATTTAACGGTCAACTATAATAGTTGACTGCCACATCAGTAAAAACTAACGGAGACTAACGGAGAGTGACCAAACTTGAACTATTGAACTAATCTTAGTGACCATGAATGAAATTAAATATTTGCAGTGACCAAACATGAACGTTTTTAGTAAACTCAATGACCATCCTTGCAATTAACCCCTATTTCATAACTCAGAATTCTTCATCCAACTTAAATTTGACTTCTCAATTTAAACACTCTCGTCTCTCACCTAATCTCTTGTTATTTTCATAACACCCAAAAGCAAACACTAATATTAGTAGTCTCTCAAACTCCAATTCATCAAATTAAAGATTACCAATGACAAGAACTTGAGATGCCACCTCTCCTCCTATCTCCTTATCCATATTCTAGTTCTAGGCAAACTCAAGAATCTTTGCTTAGTCTCCTTGCTCTAAAATAAATAATAAAATCTAATTTATATATATTTAATTAGTAATTACAAAGGTAATTAATTTCATATTCGATACTATCGATTGAGATGCCGAAGTACCAATTGGAATACCGAAATATTTAGGGATTGAGTTTGTGATACCAAAATTATTTAGTAATTGAAATTAAGATTAATTTTAAGGTATAATTCGGTATTCGAAATTCAGTATTTGGTATTGAGATATGTTAGCCATTTCCACCACTACCGTTGATCCTTAGCTCCCTTCCCAGTTGAAATTAAAGAGAGCATCACCGAAAAGGAACAGCGACCGACCTCCTGAAATTGTCCTTTTTTTTTGTTTGAAAACAAAAACTGACCCTTCAGAAACCACGCGATTCTGCCACCATTTCCCCGTTCTCTCCTGCCGCCGATCCCAGCACCAACGGACAGCCGGGGGTAGAGCAGCGAACGCCGGAGCGAGGAGCCGCAAAAATAAACAAAGGAAGAGATGGGGGTGCCTCAGATGATGCTGGCGCTGGCGTATAGGGCGGAATTCATGAAGGAGGCGCTTGAGAAGAGCCAGACCATCACCGATAACATGGTCTCCATCCTTGGATCCTTCGACCACCGCCTCTCCGCCCTCGAAACCGCCATGCGTCCTACTCAGGTCACCGATCATCTTCATTTATCGTTGAGATCTCTGTTTCGGAGCTAACAAATTTTCCTTCTCCGTTTTCTGTTCTTCGTCGATAGATAAGGACGCATTCGATCAGGAGAGCACACGAAAACATCGACAAGACTTTGAAGTCTGCGGAGGGTATCTTGAGTCAATTCGACCAAACGCGCAAGGTTTCCTTCTCTCTACTTCTCTGTTTCCCCCCGGTGCGAATTTTAATGAACAAATGATGTTTGATGAAATGCTTCAGAGGCAATCTTCACCTACTCGGACGGGATCCGAAAAGAGTGAAAATGCATGGAAAGAGACAGTGTGGAGGGATTGTTTTCATAATTTGGTTTTATTTATATAATCGTACAGGGTTTCCCTGTCTTATGTAATTGCGGATTATGGCAAATTTGACTTTTATAAACAGCAATAAAAATATTTCAGTTAGGAATGTGAGGTCAGAGAGCCAGACAAAATCCGCAGTTATTTAATTGAGGTTATTGAGCCCCACTTTCTTGGAGTTATTGCAGTTGTTAGCCTGATTGGACATAACCCAGAATTGCTTTGTAGAAAAAACATGACAGATTTCTGTTGCTTTATATTTTGGGCTGAGTTACATGTTAAAATTTTGTGTTCTGTTCCCACTAATTAGGCGGAGGCTAAAATTCTGAGAGGGCCACATGAGGATTTAGAGACCTACCTGGAAGCAATAGAGCAGCTGAAAGCCACTGTCAAGTTCTTCAGCAGCAACAAAAACTTCAAGAGTAGTGATGGGGTGGTTCACCATGCCAATCAGCTGCTTGCCAAAGCTATATCGAAGCTCCAAGAAGAGTTCAACACCCTGCTATCTAATTACAGGTTGGCTTCCCGCTTATACTTTGGAGATCTAGTTTGTGATAGAAATGGAGTGGTTGTGACTAGACAAAGTGTGCATTTGTTGGATTGAGCTGCATAGGAATAAGTAGTCAATTCCAGATGTGTGTAAATGGTGTACATGGTGATGGATGCTAGGTCTCCATTCATCTTGAGTGCATTCTCTATTCACTTGCTTTTGACTGGCATGAATGAGCCACACAAAGATGAATTCTATAGGAAAGGTCCAACTGCAAGAGCCTTGCTCGGATGGTCTGATGTTTTGTTTACTCATGCCTCGACTCTCTGTTTGGATTGTGTTATATACTTGCTTTGACCATAAAACATGAATGTATGGTCGTCTTAGCATCTGCATCCTGGTCTCAATTCATGAGAATTGAGAGCCATTCAAGTAGTCTTCAGTTAGTCTCACCATTACACTAAAAGCGCCCATGCTCACTCTTTGTTTGTTAAACAATATCTTTTGATGAGTCGGATTCAGCTTTCCAAGTTCTCTTGTGAGTTCTAATGACAGTGATTTTTGAATTTATTCAGCAAACCTGTTGAACCCGATCGTCTTTTTGATTGCCTTCCGAACTCTCTACGGCCATCATCAGCATCTGATAAGCATCAAGGGGAGGGTGGTAATAAACATTCTTCTGAACAGCAAAAGAGCTTGGAAACTGCCATTTACACACTTCCCACTCTTATCCCACCAAGGGTTGTGCCACTGCTGCATGATTTAGCACTACAAATGGCTCAAGCTGGCCATCAACAGCAACTGTTCCGAATCTACAGGTGATTCCTTCCCTCTTCCTGTGAATTCTTTGCTGTTTTTACTTTTCTTCCCTGTTTCTACTCTGTAAAAAGATGTATGAGTTTCTCAAGCCGCAAAAATGAAAATTCTTTTGTCAATTGCAAGAAGATTGCCAGCAATAGCTTTTAGTTTTAAATTTAACAATAGATTTACTGCATGATTATTGAAGTATAATATCGGTTTGATGCCAATCATGGGTAGATACTCAGGTAGTGTGTAACAGATACTACTCCAAGCACAGGTGGCATTATGCATATGTGCATGCTTTATTCATTTCTTCAGAATTTGGGACTTGTCAATGTCAATCTATGCTGTCCATAAATGCTAGGGATACTCGTGCTTCAGTTTTGGAACAGAGCCTCAAGAAATTAGGCGTAGAGAGACTTACTAAAGATGATGTCCAGAGAATGCAATGGGAAGTTTTGGAAGCAAAGATCGGAAACTGGATACACTACATGCGAATTGCTGTAAGGGCTTACACTGATGCTAACTCAGTTAAAGAGTGTACTGTTTCTTAACAACCCTTTGAATGCCATTGTATCAGGTGAAATTGCTTTTTTCTGCAGAGAAGAAAATATGTGATCAAATACTTGAGGGGATTGAATCTCTAAGGGATCCATGTTTTGCTGACGTAACTGTAAACAGTGTCTCTGTGCTTCTTAGCTTTGGAGATGCTATAGCCAAAAGCAAGAGATCCCCTGAAAAATTATTCGTTCTACTAGACATGTACGAGATCATGAGAGAGCTGCGCTCTGAGGTACTCATCTCAAAACTAGTAACATAAATAGCAATTATATTAACTCTGCTTTCCCCCGGTAATGTTGTTCTCATTCATGCTGGTCTGTATTTTGCCTTCTCCTTTTGGCTTATTCATACTTTTATTTATTATTTTCTGTGTTTGGTGATCATGTAGTTTGAATTGGTATTTGGAAGCAAAGCTTGCATGGAAATGCGAGAGTCTGCATTCAACTTGACGATTCGGCTAGCTCAGACAGCACAAGAGACTTTCGTGGATTTCGAAGAAGCAGTTGAAAGAGATGCAACCAAAACCGCCGTTCTTGATGGAACGGTCCATCCTTTGACAAGCTATGTCATAAATTACGTGAAGTTCCTATTCGAGTAAGCCACCGAAAACCGTGTTCCTATTATGCGCTCCTTTGACTTCTTGCTTCTGACTTGTTGCCCTTCAAATTTTATTCACAGCTACCAATCCACGGTGAAGCAACTATTCCAAGAGCTGGAGTCAACCGACCCCGAAGGTCAACTAGCTGCAGTAACCACCAGAATCATGCAGGCTCTTCAGACCAATCTAGACGGGAAATCCAAGCAATACAGGGATCCTGCACTCACGCAGTTGTTTCTAATGAACAATATTCACTACATCGTGAGATCCGTAAGAAGGTCCGAGGCAAAGGATATGTTGGGAGACGACTGGGTGCAGATTCATCGCCGTATCGTCCAGCAACATGCTAATCAGTACAAAAGAATATCTTGGGCAAAGGTTTTTCTTCGGTTGACCTTTATGAAAGCTTCTTTGTTTAGCTTTCTTTCATAGTTGCTGACCAGTTTTCTTCCTACGCATGTAGATACTCCAGTGTTTGACGGTTCAAGGTGAATCTAGTGGATCTAGTGGGCTCTCGAGAGCAATGGTAAAAGATAGGTTCAAGACGTTCAACTCCCAGTTCGAGGAGCTCTACACGCGGCAAGCTCAATGGACTGTTCCCGACAGCGAATTGAGAGAGTCTCTCAGGCTGGCCGTTGCTGAAGTGCTCTTGCCAGCGTATCGATCCTTCATCAAGCGCTGCGCGTATGTGTTCTTTCGTTGTCTTTTTACATCTTGACCCACTAATCATTTGTGATTTGTTTCTTGAATTAGTTGATCATGAACAATTTATGGCTACGCCAATTGTTTGCTGCAGGCCTATGATTGATGGCGGGAAGACCCCGAATAAGTACGTAAGATACACACCAGAAGACCTGGAAAGAATGCTGAACGAGTTCTTTGATGGGAAGACTTACAATGAACAGAAACGGTAATCTTCTTCAGAATTATTTAAAGAATCATTGTAATAATTGTTTCCTCCTTGTTGTCGGATTCTTTCTTTTATAACGTTTATAATGTTCAATTTGTAAAATCAAAATGAAACATTAACTTAGGAAGTTGGCTTTGCATCTTGTTGCAAAATTCTTTTCTGTTGGTGGAATAAATGTAAATGGAAGATGAGAATAAGAAAAAGAAATATGTCTGCACGTGAACCATGTGTTGTGCTCTTCCTTGTTTTTTTTTTTTTCCTTTTTCATTTCTGTTTTTCTGTTTATTAGGAATAGGAAGAGACGAGCCGCATCACTATTTGGGTGGAAATGTAGGTGCCTGCTTCTTTCCATCCCTAAATAGTAATTGTAAATTCATGATTAATTAAATTAATTCAAGGTAATTAAGTTATCTAAGTATGATTAGAACAAAACAAAGTAGTACAGAAACAGACAGGGTTAACAGTCAGCGGCCCACTGCTAATCAGCATTTACGTTTGCCAGACCAATCCGAGACAGGTCAGTTAGGTAGCACATAAAGTTCGGTCAGTTCTTCAATCTTTTTCCGCGCCATTATTAATCCACCCATTTACAGCTCCTTAATACCAATTATCTCATCTTTAATACTTAATCATCTGTGCATCCACACTGATATGTTCATCATATATTTACCGGCCGGTCGTCTCTCCCCCGACGACCGAACAAATAGAGGGAAGAGAGATGTCCGCTGCAGATTCTTCCGGAGGGAGAGGATATGGTTATTCCGAGTATTGGCTGGTGGGTGTGACAAGTTTTTTATTTTTATGAATCGGATTATGTTATATCATAAAAAAAAAATTTGTTAACAACAACTCTTGTCAATTAGGATCTATAAAATGTGAACAAAATATATACTAACCCCATACCAAGAGCTAACAAAACCGTCACCAACTAAACTACTAATCGCTCATCTATCAACACTCTAACCACATTCTTAACACCTTTACTTAACACTTCAACTTCTAACCTTTCCTATGCATATGTTGATTCTTGTAGAGAAAAAGGTCTACTTTTATTATTAATGAACGGTGAAATTTATATTGTCTTTATTTACATATTTATACACAACTGTATACTATAAAGTAACATAACAATACTGAAATAAACAAATATTACAATCTAGTCCCTATACTACTGTTTGAATACAACGGAGTCCTCCAACACCCCCCACAAGCTGGAGCGTGGATGTCAATCCGATTCAGCTTGGAGATGAGACCTGCAAAGACAACACTTGACAGAGACTTTGTAAAAATATCAGCAAGCTGATTTTCACTGTTGATAAACAACACCTTAATCAAACCTGACAAGATTCTATCGCGAATAAGATGACAATCGATCTCAATATGTTTGGTACGTTCATGGGCGACCGGATTTTCAGCTAAACGAATAGTGGATTGATTATCACAGAATAACACATTAGGAGAAGAGAAGGAAACACCCAAATCTTGGAAAATATAATGTAACCACTGTACCTCACAGGTAAGATCTGTCATGGCTCGGTATTCGGCTTCTGTGGAGGATCGAGAAACAGTGGGTTGTTTCTTTGATCTCCAGCTGATAACCGAATCCCCTATAAACACACAATACCCCGTAACAGAACGCCGGGAATCCGGGCAGCCAGCCCAATCACTGTCTGAAAAACCAGTAAGTTTGATAGAGGAGTTGCTAGGAAAGAAAAGACCTTGACCTGGATTATTCTTAATTTACCTAAGAACTCTGTGGGCAGCAGTAAGATGTACATTAATTGGAGCACTCATGAATTGAGTTAGATGGTGCACAACATATACTATATCAGGTCGTGTATGGCATAAGTATAACAGACGCCCTACTAGTCTACGATAGAGTTCTGGGTCAGAAAGTGGGTTACCATCATGCACTGAAAGTTGGCTGCCAGCTATAAGAGGTGTGGCAGCAGGCTTAGCTGCAAGTAAACCTGCATCTTTGAGTAAATCAAGTGCATATTAATGAACGGTGAAATTTACATTGTCTTTATTTACATATTTATACACCACTGTATACTGTAAAGTAACATAACAATACTGAAATAAACAAATATTACAATCTAGTCCCTATACTACTGTTTGAAGACCACGGAGTCCTCCAAAAGCGTATATGCGTCTACATCGTTCTCTCTAGATGTTACCAAGCATGGAACACCAAATCATTTTCCCGACATCCTGAGCGGAGAAGAAGGAGCAAACACCTTCACTGCCAATAAACCTCCTGCCTCCAAGAAGAACAAAAGAGTCGAGGGAAGAAACGACCATGAAGCTGCAAATACAGCTCATGATATAAACTCGACACGCTGATCAATAGATTCCACACCCTAATCAGAAAACACAAAATTTAGGGGCCCATCATACCCCAGGAAGCCATTTTATCTCTTGTATGAATTCTTTCCTTTACAAACAGCCACAAGAGGAACTTGTTTTTGGTAAATCTCATGTCCTTTCCACACTAGAGAAGCCGACAGGGGTTTGGGGAGCTTTGGTCTAATGGAATTCCAGACTTTCCTAACAAAAAACTTCTACATCACTTCACCTTGTAAGAAAACTTAGCCACCCAGAACTGAGAAAAACGGCTACACTTTCTATCTAACCTTCAACAGTCTTTTCTAACACCAGGAACCCACAGCTCCCAAGAATTGTCAGAAAGAATGACTCTTGAGATTGTATTTCCTAAGCCAAGCAATCCGAAGGAAGCCTTATTACATTAATATAGCCCATCTATGACGCGAAATGCAAGCAACATTCCATGAATACAGGTTATGAATACCCAGACCACCTTCAACCTTAGGAAGATTGAATTGATTCCAAGCAACAATAGCCCAAATTTTACCTCCAACTCCTACACCCCATAAAAAATCACTATTGACACTACAGATCCTCTCCACCTCAGCAATAACCGACTTTGGGAAGAAGGTAAACATACATCCAATATTGTGTTAATCTCAACAACACATAATTCACTAACTCCTAACATAGCGATCATCTTAAGAATTGTTGTCAGTTTCTGTTTTTGCAACAAAATCTTATTTATTCTCATGCTTCCTTTCCTTGGGAAAATTGTATTTCCAATGCCCATTTTCTTTGCAGTGATGACATGCTTCGTTTGGCTGTGGACCAGGACTTTTCAAATTTGTGATTGAACTCATTTTCCTTTTTTTTTTGTCCCTTATCACTAGTAACAGCCAACCCAGATGCTGGAACTTCTGTAAGAGATCCGGACACTTTATGTAAGATCTCTCTAACATGAAGAGCAGATCTAACAACTTCCACTAGAAAAGGTATCTTTCCCATCAATAAAAGAATCAACCAAATTGTTATGTGAACGTGATAAAGATACCAGCAAAATTAGGGCAACATCTTCATTATCTACTTTAACATATATGTTATAAAGATCTAACAAGATGCTATTAAGTTTATCAAGATGATCACTAAGCGGCGTACCAGCCTGCATATGTAGGATGAACATATGTTGCTTCAGATGCAACTTATAACTTATTGGTTAAAGACTTCATCATGTAGAGACTTTCCTAGTTCAACCACAGTCCAACGATAGTTTTCTTAGCGAAAAATTCATTGAAGATGTCATTAGAAAGTGATAGCATGATCTTTGAGTGGGACTTCTCCTTCTGGGTATTCCACTCTTTGTCATCGAGCCCTATCTTCTTCAGTTTCCTAGATAGCAGGCACCACAACCCTTGCTATTTTAAAAGTGCTTGCATCTTGATAAGCCATATATTCAAACTGTTCTCTCCTCTGAACTTTTTGATCTTCATATTCAATGAGTTCATTTTGTATTTTGAAAATCCCTAACCGATATCCCACAGCTCTGATATCACCTGTTAGAACAGATTGGAAAATTGACAATGCAAAAAAAGTAAAGAACGCACAGATAAGGTGACGACTGATATTCTGTCTTCAAGTCATAGCAATAGAATCCATGTATTAAACCCAACTCATGCCAAATGGGATGAGTTGGATAAGAAAATACATAAGGGTTTGGACAAAATTTCCATCCCAACTTATTCACAATAGTGGCTGACGAATGAGTGGAAAATTGCATACTCTTTAGAAAACTGTACCACAGACCATAAGTTAGGAAAAAGTTGCCATGCCCACATATTCGCCATATGTCATGAAATTTTAACTAAAAGGAATTTAGTAATTTGATGATCAAACTCTAATGACTCATGCATCAAAATTAGAACATAGCCGAATATAATGTAAATCTATAACATATATTACGATTGTTTTAGACCAACATTTTCACACATAAAATTAAACAAACTCCATAATTTTTTCATGTCACCTTATTCCAATATAAAAGGAGGTCGCTTCCATATGTATATGGTGAAGGACGTGGAAGGCACGCATGAGAATCGACATTCAGCTTGCATTTGTCATAGTATGCAATAAGCTCGCTTCCATATGTATATGGTATTCGAGGTGCAGGTATGCATAAGCTTCATAGCTGTCATATCCACACATGCATAGGCGTCACGCACCATGATCGTGGCATAGAAAATTGGGATAAACACTCCCATGCATAATCAAGAATCGACAATTGATTCTGGCAACATATGAGCTGCTAGGTCCAGTATGTGATGTAATCCTACCTTTTCCAAGGCTCTTGCTCGCGGTCTGAGAGGCAACAAGGATCCTACGTATTTTTCCCTTGAGGCATCATGCCATTCGATCGAATGAGGATCAATCGAGTAGGATTGTCATTTCTAGTCTCATCCTACACAACTTGGATTTTGATCCTTGCAACTCGAATGAATGCAAGGTCCACTAAACAATCATTCAAATCGACAAAAGACAACATAAAGGGAAGCAAGCACACAATGACAAAAATCAAATCATATGCCTCCCAGAATCAAGTGTTCTACATAATTATAGGCCCTTTTATGGTCCGCTAGCCCATACAAATAACTGAACTAGCTAATCATATAAACAGGGGCTTACATAGGGTGAAAGTTTTACCACTTAAGCCGCCAATGCTAGTAAGACTTAAAAGGGCGAACAGAGAAATGGCATCCAAAACATTGTTGTTGCATTCCTTGGCTACTTCTAGATGATCCACGTGGTCTGGAAACGGCGTGTGGACAGAGCAACGCCCTCTGAAAGTCGTCCTTCCATGTCGTTCAGCTAATTAGAATAGTCAAAACACGTGCCATCAAATCAGCAAGCTCCTAAGTAAATTTATGATGAAGTAGGGGCTTCCCCCAAAATGGCTCCCATTTTGGTGGCCAAAACTGAAAATTCCCAGTTCGGGCCATGCTTGGGCCTTGTATGGGCCTTTTCTCCCTTGCCTGAAATATCAATTCGGCCATA